TTTGTTTATTAATCTATATATGTGAGAGGTTAAGGGTTCGGAAATGGAATTACCAACTTTTAAAAAAATTCATTCTGGCGTTAAATGTTGATGATATTTGGCAATTGACGTTGTTCTAATCGATTTTCAGTATTTTGTTGAATTTTAAATCAAAATTTTGAATTTTACGAACGCATTTGGTTAGAACAGATTATTAATCAGTTTAGTAAACAAATCAAAATATTAAGTAAGAAAACTCATAAATTTAAAATTTATAGAAAAGGGTAGATAATAATACATTTAGGATTGATTAGAATATTTGATCGAAATTGTAATGGTGTTGTAATTTCGACATCTAAGATTTTTTCAACTACTTTTCATTCAAGTTATGTGACATAAAATAACGGTCCGAAATCAAAAAGCAGAATCAATAAATCTATTAATATGGCTGGGGGTAAGCGAACTTTGTTATCACTTAATTTTTTTTCCAATTAAAACAGAGCTTTTTGTTAGTTTTTATCTTTTATGACATCTGGTTCATTTTCAATTCATACTTAAAACGTAAAGGTAATGAATCTTTTATTATTTAAAATTTTAAAATTGCCGACAAAATGTTTTGTTTTTAATTTTTGTCGAATTAGTTTCCTAATAAAATTTTTTAACATCCTCTTGTTTTTTTTAGTTTTTGGTCACACAAGCTATATAAATAAAAACAAATTGACTAAAAACAAAACTAATTACTAATGTGAATCTAAACGCATGGATGCGATATTCTCATCATAATATTGGCATAATGGTAACAAACATTCATATTCATGCATTATAATCGTCTAATGCTAATTTTACAAACGAGTTCGAATATTGATGAATAAACCATATTTTATTAACTATGCGCATATAGAAAATCCAAACGACATTACCAAAAATATATGAAAATGTAACAAGTGGTTAGTGTTAGTCACTGCAGGCACATGTGCATGCTAATTGCTATGAATGAATGAGGCTCGTTAATTAGAGCCAAGTGAATTTGCTGAAGTTTGCTTTGCGTTATGTGGTTCATTATGATCGTTATAGCATTGCCTAAATGATAATATTCTTGAAGGGATCGTTCATATCTATACAATCCTCTAACATAATACTTTTGGTTTAGAATTTACCATTTCACTTTTTACATGTTTTTTTAGTAATTTGCCCTTTTTTCATTCCAAATTATTGGAACCTACATTTGTGAGAAGTTGCACGCACACGCGCATTTGTAAACGCAAGCCTTTATTTGAATTATTTAAATGTAAAAAAACACGTGTGCGTGTGTGCGAATCCATGCAGTGTGTGTACTATGTATGATGAGTGTGTTTTATATGTAAACAAGTGTATACGGAATGTATGTATGTGTGAATTTATTCAGAGTGTATATGTGTATTATGTATGCGGAGTGTATGCGTGTGTGTATTATGTATGCAGCATGTATTGCGAGCGAGTTATAGAAACCTGACTGTTCTGCACCAAGGTCCACTATTCTTCAGATAAACATGCACACGGGCAAACGTTCATTTGTTATGTGGGCATTTCTTGCTAAGTAACATGCTAGCGTATGTTTGTGTGTATGTGTGTGCGCGCGCTAGCTTGTGCGTTTGTGTGTGTGAGTGTGCATGTGTTTAATTTGTGCTTGTGCTTAGTTTATGCCTGTTAGCTTTTTCAGGTCAAGATTTATAGTACTTGAGTTACTCATTTTTTCTTATGGTTAGGTGGATATTGGTATGAAAGTATCTGTGAAAATTGACTTGAAGAATGCCAAAAATTTTTTTATACAAATCATTTGCTTATTTTGAAAAACATTTACAACATTACTGAAAACTTGTAAATTTTAAGCTCTCGGTAATTATTATCAAATTATGACTTGAGAAATCGAATAAGATAGAAATGAGTAAATGGTACCAACGGTGCGTGAATGTGTTTTGCGGGGCAGCGTATTTCTAAATGGGAAAAATTGTTTAAATATAAAACAAAAAGATATAAAACGCTGAAAAGTTTCAAAAGGATTTAAAGAATGAAGATTGATAGAGATAAAAAAGTCTACAAAAAGTGTGAAAGTATTTGTTCTCACCAAACAAAGTCCTTGAAAATAAACGAAGAAAATTGACGAACAATAAAACGACGGGCTTCTAACCGTGTTTAGCAGATTGCGTTCATACTAAAACAGCGGGTTTTATTGACTAAATAAAGTTTAGAGCAAGAAACATGGAATTTCAAGTGGAAGTTATTTTGTTGAAGAAATCGACTGAAACGCCACTAGAACAGATTTAGATTTGAAAATATGATTCGTTTATAGTAAGTATCAGTTCATGAAAAATGTTTTCCCGCACTGAACGTTGTGATTTGAAATGAGGACTGAAGTTTGATCGTTTCGATGATGATTGATCACGGCACCTACCTACCCTGCTGGAGCTATTGTTTTTCTTCCCTCTGGTTATATGTAATTCAACAATTTTATTTTGAATATCTAACGCCTTTGCCAATGTTTGACAAACAGGAAAATATAATTTCAAAAAATAAAACACTGTTCAGAAAATTTAAGTAAAAGTCATCAAGGTATAATTCTACATAAAATCAAATTTATATAAGACTTTAAAACAAAAATAATGAATGTAAAAGAACTTTAACAAAAATGAAAGCATCAAATTTTATCTTTAGAGCAAACATTTAACTTCCTGAAATAAAATAAAAAACGACAGATTTTTCAAAAATACAAAACTCTTGAAAAGTCACCAGAGATGGATGGGGAGATACGTGCTTTAGTTCCAAAAAATCATTCACAGGTGATCAAATGTGCTGCCAAGATATTCAGTTAGTAAGAAAACTTATTGTTTTTTTTTGAAGAAACTGTTATAATCAGTTTCTCGAAATTAAGGGAAATTGAAACTGTTTAAAATCGAAAAAAATATTCAGGTACAAATATTTAGATTTACATCACACTGGGTTGTGAAAGTATCTATGTTTGGTGTTTTTCTTAATCTCTTCTTATCAATACTTTTTTCAATCAACATTGCAATTATTTATCATTTAGTATGTTTTATTATGATATATCAAACCTCAAAGATTTTTACATCTAGACTTTTTTGATTGGCTGTGTTGAACTTTTTGTTTAAAAATATTTTCCCGCCCGGAATGTTTTTCTTTATAATGGAACAAAACTGCTGTCAAACGAGTTAAAGCGATTTTTTTGCAATGTTACAAAATATTTCTTTTATTTGAATTTATTTAGGATTTTTTTTTATAAATTCTGGTGTCTTGTAAATGTCACAAAATTTCACTACCAATTTTTGGAAGCCTCTTTACACACTAAGACCATTTGTTTCAACTTTTTTGTCCAATTTTTTTCTGAATATAACTTCAACACACACTTTTAATATTTTCATTATTGTAAGATTGTAAGTTGAGATGATAGATAAATGAACTTGTTGGAAAATGTTAAAAATTGGGACTTATAAGATGTCCCCACTATCCAATACGACCAGCTAACTAGTTGCTAGGAATTTACGACTAACGCAAAACGTGGTCTCTGTCTATTGCACGTGCAGTGTGTGTGTGTGTGTGTGTGTGTGTGTGTGTGAATGCGTTGATTCCAGTGTATTTATAACACAAGGCGTGTTTGTTATCAATTCTTCTGGGATATACCAAAAAGAGGATTAAAAATGAATTGTAATAAATAATTGAAAACTTTAGTTGCAAGTCTCGGGTAAACCGTCATCGAGTGGCTCTGCTGGGCAATGAATTCGTTTGTGTTTATATTATCTGGATTAGTTTAACAAACCTAAACTGTTTCAAATGCTTTTTTAAACATACATTAAATAGTGTTGAGTTCATGCTTCACACAAACGTGACATTTGCATGCAATGTTGTTAGTATTCAGATCCGTGCGATTAGGTGTTATTGCGATGTAACGTAACGCTTTAGGAATACCATGTTCAAATATATATCGAAAAGGCAATTGATTTTTATAATAGGAAATTAGTAATCCCATAAATGTTTTAACTTTATGAAATTATTTTGAATTGTAGATTTTGAAGCACAAAGTTTTTAAATTTAAAATTTTTACTGATCTCATCCGCGTATACAAAGATTTCAAATAAATGAATAAATGTGTGAATTTTTCAGCGGTCAACGTAGCAAGGGTTATTGTTCATTTTACAATAATTCACTTTATAACTGTTGGAATGATATTAGCACCACCCATTTCAGTGGTGGAAACAAATTTACCATTGCTTCCATTTATAATATTGTCCAAAAATATTCCAACATCTTATGGCACCTTAAAATTTTTCTATGCACATTCAAATGAATGCATTCGAGTGCTACGCTATTCACGTATGCATATATCCGCATTTAAATAGATGAATCTGCGTTTGGACATTGCATTAAAATAGTTGCACTGTTGCCGTTATCGTTGGTGGTGATGATGCCTGTGTGTGCTTGTGTGTGTGTGTCTGTGTGTGTGCCTGCGTGTGTGTGCGCGTGTTTGCTAGGACTAACAAAGCAGGTTTATTCCGCTTGTGTGGTGTGCTGCTATCCAGCTGACCATACACACTGTAGCTGCTCCCTATATGCTGGAGTTGTAAGCATGTGTTTGTTGTGCCGGTGTCTGTCTATACTGTGTCTATGTGTGCTGTGCGTGCTATTTCTGCAATTAAATAATATAATTTATTCGATATATATATATATATATATATATATATATATATATGCGTGTGTGTGTGCGTGTATGTGTGTGTATACAATATATTTATACAATATATTCTGTGTTTTAAGTGTATGTGTGAGCGTGTGAGCTTGAGACGTTCACTTGTTATTTGTATGTGTGTTATGTTATTTATTATTCATGTTTGTTCGTAGCTTTTCTATTTTATTTTTTTTTAGTTTTAAACAAATTTAAAATCAAATTTAAATTTTTCTTTTTATTTAAACATAAAGTCGCAGCTAATTTCAACAAAATATTTCAAAATTGCAAATTAATTGCGTTATATATGACGTTAGAAACGTCAACGAACGCCAAAGGTCCGTGCCCTACTGCAGGCAGTTGCGTACTTTTCGGGCCAACATTTGTTTGTGATTTCAATTTAATTGAATGACGATTGTGATTTGTTCCCAAATAAATTGATGTTATTAGTTAAAAATTAATTTCAAATGTTTCAGTCTTTCCATTGTCTACTTGTTGCGTGGGATATACTTACATTTTTTTTTATAATTTTGAATTATTTATTTTCAAAAACGAAACCTGAAAAATTAAGTTGTGATTATATAATGCAGAAAACTTATTCATATTTCCATAAATTTTTTTTTAAAAAAGCACAAACTTGAAAATAGCAAGGTTTCAAATGGTTGTTGTTGTTTTCGATGTAGTAGAAATAAATATTTATTCCCTGAACAATGATGTTCAGATGTTCAGTGAACATCTTTAAAAACATGCACCTTTGTTTTTTCTTCACTTTGAAAAATTTGTAAACATGAATGTGACGCTGTCAAAACATTGACTCTTTAAGTTACAACTGACAAGCAATCTTGCAATGAATCATTCACTTTCCCTGCTCTGAGTTTGTGGCCGCGTTTTTGTTGCTGGCATTGTATGTTAACGTAATTGAAATTTTACTTGAACTCCCTGACTGAAATTATGATAGTAAAAAATCTCTGCCTTGCTATTGCTGTAAGATAATATAATATAATCAAACCTGCTCGTCTATCTTATTTTGAAATTGTGAACGGAAATATAGATAAACAATGTATTTGTAGTTCAATATAAGTTAAGCTGATTCAGTTTAAAATTTTGTTTATTTCTAGTTCACGTGTCAGGGCACAGAACTTTTTTAATGTTCTTGTCGATAATCATTTGTTTCTTCTGTTATTTGCAGAAATCTTAATTTTTTTTAATTTTTTGTTTGTCAATTAACAACGTCATGTTCTAACAAAGTTTTGAAAATAATTTTTTATTGAAAGAACTGTTTATAGGAAATAAAAATAAAAATTACCTTGTGATCAACTAAGAAGGCTATGTTTTCAGCATTATTTTATTTAACAACCTCCAGCCAAACCAGAAAGGAAAAGTGGTCGATGCAAGTGGTTCAACGTCGTCAAGGGATACGGCTTCATCACCCCAGATGATGGCACTCCAGATGTTTTTCTCCACCAGGTAGCTAGCTCTCTTGCTGTTTCAAATAATTCTAATTTTATTAGAGATTATTTGAAAATTCAACATCATTTTTTCTTATTACTTTTAATGTATGGTCAGGTCATAGTAAGTAATTACATAACTAAGAGTCGAAAGATGTTATTAATTTTTATAAGGATTTTAATCTCAAAAATTTTCACTAATTTTTTTTGCCTTAACTATAATATTGAAACTTGCGAGTTATTGAGAGAGGATTTTGCAGTTGATACGTTTTGAGCAATTGAGTTTAAATAAACCGACAGATTGCTTACAAAATTTTTGAATTTTAATCTGTTGATAGATATCTTAAATTTTTGAAGAAAAATGTACTAAAGAATAAAGCAATTACATCACAAGTCTCACTCACTCAGTGTCATTATCTATTTTGCTACTATTTTACAAATTGAAATTTTAGATTTCATAGTTTTTGCAATCCAGAAAAAGAAATCTGTAAATTTTTCATGGGTTTTGCATTTGCAGTTGTTATTTAAAGTTGTTCAGTTTAATTGTTTTTCATTTCAAATCACAAAACGCACACGCCCTTGTTTCGTGGCAAAAACCACACCCACCACACACACACACACACACACACAAACCACACACACACACCACTAACACATACACACACCCACACACACGACCAATACGAAACGCAGACAGTCATACAGATGCCAGGCTTTCGAAGTCTTGCAGATGATGAAGAGGTTGAATTTGAGTGCAAGGAAACGGATAAAGGACTGGAAGCAACTTTTGTATGTGGACCCGAAGGAACCGACTGCAAAGGAAGTGAAAGAAGACCGGTCTCCAAAAAAAAATATAAAAAATTAAGGTTTTTTTTTAATTTTGAGTTGCCAAACTGTTTCTTACTTATACAACTGGCACTAAAATAATATCCTCCCCCCATGCAGATGTTACAACTGCGGCGACTTTTCTAACCACGTAGCAGCCAAATGTCCCAAAGGTCCAATGCCGAAACGATGTCACCTCTGCAAGTCGGACAACCATTTAGTTGCCGACTGCCCCAACCGAAAGGGCACAGAGGGCTGCTTAGTAACGGTGGCCAGCCCGGACAAACCCCATTCACATCAAGCCGAAGAATCTAATGGAAGTAGTAGTGGAGGTGGTGGGCGAACAGAACACTGATAGGACTGCGAGGTTTTGTAAATTTAGTTAAACGACAATGTTGATCATAAAATATTCTACTAAAAAACAGCGAAAATTTTTTGGTGATAGGAGAAAGTGTTTAGTTTGAAAAGAATGGAAAATTTGCTCTGACTGTCGTGTTATTGTTAATGTTATCATACTTTCTCTCACCACCAACTCATTGATGCAGAATTGAGTGTAATTGAAAAGTCATTGGTGGAAGGATTAATACGTCATTGATCATTTGAGTTCTCTGTTATTATGATTCATGTGCCTAAAAATTACATACAAAACTGTAGTATTGAACGTACGTTCATTTTTTTATACGTTTTAAATATTTATGCACTAAGAAGCATATTTCCAAGAGTTCATTTTGTAAAACTGTTATGTTTATTTTTTTTGTTTTAGTTTATTTACAACCATTTATAATATCTCTGGGAGTGGTGGTCATTTTAATGATATTAAATTTAATTGTTTTTATTACATTTTTGTAAGAGCTGTATTAATTTGTTTGTTAGCACAGGCAAGTTGTCACTTTTTTTTGGCCAGCACAAAATATTTGGATTTGAATGTGTTACTACAAATTTTGCGATTGTGTTTGTGGATCAACTAATTTGCTCAAACACAGATAAATTCGTCATTATGTGACGTAATTAGTGTGTAATTGTAAACCGGCTTAACAAAATTGAAACACTGAATACGAAAAAAATGGTAGAATAAGCCCAAAAATGTTGAAATATTTTGAATGGTCGCATAAACATATCATCACTGCAATATCATAGAATAGCAACATTACAATATCGTTACAAAATTAATCACGTTTTCAACAGGCTGGCCGTGTCTGTAAGTTACTATTAGATATCTTTATACTTTATACTGAACCTTATCTGTTTGAGTTAATCCGGTTTAGCGCCATAAAAATGAACATAAAAAAATGACACTAACTAATTTTAATAATGACAGTTGTGTGTGTACAAGATTTTGTGCTGGTGCAAACAAATTGAAGAATGATTGATGGACGAATTTCTAAGTGTTCTCAGTCATGTATAATTTTTCTGGTTTTTGCATCTTTTACATAAATTTAATCCGTGAGTCTTTTCATAGCGAGTCATTCATTATTTGTAATGTTTCGCTTAAACATGTCCACATGTGTGTTTGTGCTGCTTCTTGTTCAGTGTCAAGAATTTTTTTTAACATAAACATTTCCCTTAATTAACAAAATCAGTTATCAGTGCGTACAACACGAGGTCAAATATTATTGTAATATTACATACATTTGTTATCATTATTATTGTTATTGTTGCTGTTGTAATATATTTTGAAAGTAAATGCACTTCCTTAATTTAATTCTAATTTATTCAATTTAACTGGATACGACATCAATTTTTTTGACAATTCGTTGAGTTTTCAGGCTTCATATGATGAATAACGTTTAAAATGTAACACATCAATCGTACCATTTTGCAATAAAACGTTCTTATCATTCATATTATTAATTCATGTAATTTTAATGTAAATGTTGGTAATCCTGTGTATAATAGTGTATTTATTTTATCATTCAGACATGTTTACTCTTGCAACGACATCACTTTCGTTGACGTATGTCAAAATGATGTCACAATGACGTCACAAATCCGTGTCACTCATACTTCTGTCCGTCTGTACTCATTGCAACTTCTGACCAACCAACATTAACAATGAATTTCTCAATTTATTAATCACTCTTTTTAAAGGTATCTTGACGTACTGAAAGAATTTACGCATAACAATCCCTGTCATCTTACATATGATTTCTTCTTTTTCTTTTCTCTTTCTTTCTCCAACTCTCTCTCTCTCTTTCCTCTCTTTCTCTCTTTCTTTCTCTCTCTCTCTCTTTTCTCATCCTCTTTCTACATCTCCTTCATTTTTTGCCTTTCTCTTTATTGTTCTTCGTGCCTCTAGCTTTAATTTTCCCTAAATCTGATTTTAAAATAGTATGCATGGCAACATGGAAGCACAACACGTGTATGTGTGCCAATTATTTTTTAACTATTTTAACCAAATGAAAAAACTAATAAATAAAGTTCACACATTAACTACTAGCACAGTTTCTAGCACAGTTATAAAAATAAATAATTATCAATTATTTATATAACTCCTAAAGCACATCACACTCACACAAACACATACACACACATTTAGACATACAAAATCATTGTCAGTAAAATGTAGTAAATGTTTCCATATACAAAACTGCAACAACAAGTGTCCTAAAGAGCTCTCGTGTGTTCTTACATGCGTTATTAGGAAATTGCGCTTATTTTCAATAATTATCAAGATGAATTTTTTCTAATTTAAATCAACATAGTATGTATTTACATTTGTGTTATTTTTACAGCCCGTTATGTACGTACATTGGTAACATTGTATCATTGATTATAATAATATTATGTATTTTTTTATACTTTTTTGAAATTTAAAATATGGATAACAAGTTTTTTAAAACGAAGATGATGACAGCTTTTCAATTTAGGACAATATCACGTGAAACAGCATTTTTTGAACTAATAGTAATTACATCCATGTTTATATATGGTTGAATGAATAATTAAAAAGATGAATGAATGATTGAACGAACAAACGAACGAATGAATGAGTAATTGAATGAATGGATGAACTAATAAATTGTGGAGAAAATATTTTGTCGATGAACAAATGAGATTTGAGGTAAAATATGGCAAAAGAATTATAGAAGAAAGATGAAACAAATGGTTGAACATATAAGTTAAGCATATAAGAATGAATTGGTGAATGAACGAATGAATGAATGAATGAATAAATGAACGAATGAATGAATGAATGGATGAATGAATGATCTACCTCATCATCTACCTCTATCACCTCCGTGTACGTCGTGTTTTTGATACTTGTGTACATCGTTTGTACGATTTATACTGTACATTATATTCTCAGAGGTTATTTTTTTATACACACACACACTACAAACACACACACCACAAACACACACACCACAAACACACACACCACAAACGCACACACACACGCATATATATTACGTGCGTATGTTAATAAATACATATGTTTCTACGTACACATTTATGTTAATAGTTTATATTTTCTTGTCACGTTATTCCCCTTATTAAATTAAAAAATAATTCTTGATTATTATCATTTTAAATATCTCTCCATCAGTTTGATAATAAAATTTTAATATCATTAAGTTCGATTTAATTTTAGCTTGCAAACTGTTCCAATACTACCTCATACTGTATGTAAAATGCCTTTTATTTCGTGTCTCTATGTATATAAATGTTCATGTTATCTATATATGTTTTATATGCGTTGTATATATATATATATATATATATATATATATATATATATATATATATATATATATATATATATATATATATATATATATATATATATTATAATGTATGTCTGTATGCTTGTATACACATATACATAATCTAATATGTAATTTTAATTATTTAAAAAAAAATAATAAAAATTTTTTTTTAACTCTTCATTTATTTAACATTGTTATACAAAACTCAAAAAATATGACAATTATACGTTATAAAGTGTTTTGGTAATATTTTTGACCATCAAAAATATCAACTGTCTTGAAATTTCATAATTGCTACCGGTGGTCGATTACAAACCGTGACCGTAGATAGACGCTTGACCATGGTTATGGAATGAATGCACACACACACACACACACACACACACACACACACACACACACACACACACACACACACACACACACACACACACGAAAGAAAGGAACAATGATGTAGTTTAAGATTAATTGTTTGGTATAGTTAGTAACCAGTTGACAGCCGGAAGAACAAGAACAAGACAGAAGTCGAGAATCAGAAACGTAAATTAGTGAGATTCAATTCAATCGACTTATTATCAACATTCGACGTCAACTTATGTTTAATATTGCTTGTTCACTTTTAAATCTGAAAACATACAATAAAGATGAAACCGACCCAAGGTTTATGTGTATTTGACATTATTTTTTAATCTGATTAGCAGCAGTTTAACACAATCAATATTACATAGTGGGGAACAGGGGTAAGAAGGACAGTCGGAAGAACAAGAACAAGACAGAAGATAAACGAGACGATTGAAATAATTCGAAATAAATTTAGGGAGATTAAATAATTGGACATAAATAATAATAATAATTATTATAATATTATGCATAAAATATGAAAATAAAATGTGTAATAGTTGCATGGTGTTTGCCAAATCTTGGTGCTCCTGAAAGTTGTCCATAAAATGCTTCCCATTCAATACGCACGTGCACATTTTTCCATGGATGTAATTTGACCGTTTACATTCAAGAGCAGTGACAACCGCAAGGAAAATGAATAACGTTTAGAAAAAATCATAAAAAAATATTCTCCGTATGCCATGTCGATATTTTATTAAATATTTGAAAATTATATAAATATCGAATTGTGGAAAAATTTAAAGCTCAGCAATGAGAACAAATGAAGGAATTGAAAAATGTCTAGAATTGAAATATACGTTCAGAAAATAAATACAAAATATAGGATTAAAAGACATCGAGCCAGATCTTTAAATTAAGTTCCGATGAATATTTCTGTGATCTTAAAGTGCAAAACATTTAAAATTAATAACAAACCGACTAATGCCATTTTGAAATCCATCTTAATTATGAAATTTTTAACAGGAAATTCTACCTAGCCATGTCACGGTATGATTTTAATTCAATGTTTTAATACTTTATTTCAAGTTTTTAGATTTGGTTGAACAATAACATTCCTGTGTTGTTAGAATTGGGTTCACTCATAAATATTGAACTTGTCATTTAGACTCACCGATTATATAATATCTTTAAAGGCTTAATGTTATACGTTAAATCTTCAGAAATCTTCTAAAGAGTATTCACTAGCTTTCGTTGAAACAATTTATCATGAAGTTGCATCTAATCAAACACAGGAATATATAAAATTGAATGAAAGAAAGAAAAATCGAATCGAAAATATCATCATCACAATTTCATAACAACGGTCTTTCTTACGCACGTCATAATTATTATCATAACGACTTCTTCGTTATATAATGCATTGAATATCATTCACCGTCATCACTTTGTTCTCTTGACTCGTCTATACTTCCAAGATCAAACTTTCATCAATGAACTCGAATTTCATCATCATCATTCCACTTCCATCATCATTTACCCATCATCATTTTACAATCCTGATCATCTTCATCAGTTTCTCATTTCTTGAGACGGTGCCACATCGAGGTTTGCTTCCGCAGCGAGTTGAGCGTTTGATTCCAGTGCACGAGTTCCGTCCCACTGGCCTTTGAACCGACGGTCACGTGACCAACCTGGTACGTCGAACCGGGGTGTGTGGGTCCCACAGATGCCCCCGGAGACAAGTTGGCTATCACAGACACCCTCAACTGGAGGGACTAAATGAATGAATGAATGAATAAATGAATGAATGAATGAATGAATGAATGAATGAATGAATGAATGAATGAATGAATGAATGAATGAATGAATGAATGAATGAATGAATGAATGAATGAATGAATGAATGAATGAATGAATGAATGAATGAATGAATGAATGAATGAATGAATGAATGAATGAATGAATGAATGAATGAATGAATGAATGAATGAATGAATGAATGAATGAATGAATGAATGAATGAATGAATAAATGAATGAATGAATGAATGAATGAATGAATGAATGAATGAATGAATGAATGAAGAGATGAATGATTGAAAGCCCAAAAAACGACTAAATGAGTAATTGATTAAAGGATATTATTCGTTGTATGTGAAATCGAATGATACACTTGATTGTAACAGATTTAGCAAGTTGTTACTAAACCATGAAGAATGTTAAATTTTTTTTTGGCAAACCATGCTGATGTTCAGTTAAACCTTGAAAACAATTAACAAATAAGAAACCATTGTGATGATTAAGTCTGATCAACATTACTTATATAATGATTACAACATCATTCCAATTCACAGCAATTAACAATGTATGTGCTATGTTGCGGCGATTTTTAAAATAAACGCTAAAAAAATTAAACTTTAAAACGTTTTTATCATTGGCTAGTTAAAACCAAATGAACGAAAGATAAACAAACACAGCGTTCAAAAGCCTTTCATGAAAAGACTTCCAAAGTTGGAGACAGGATGGCAAACAAATTTGAAGATCGCCTCTGGTGAATATCGGTGCAGTTTCAAAAACCATTAAACAATCCCTAGAGAACGATTTATCATTCTACCACGGACAGACGGTTTGAATAGTTTTGTAAAAAAAAATGGCTTTGAAAGTTATATTTCCATTACATGTTTATTAGAGATTATTTATTTATTTATAATACGAACTAATGTCGTTGATGAATTGCAGTTGCAAAGAAATACTTATACGAATAAGGTTGGCTGCGGAATTCAAACAGATAGGGCTTAAAAGCGACAAAATAAATGTAAGCTTGGGATCAATTTTGAGAATACTGTTAATCTTTTGGGGGCTTTTTCTTTTATGTTGTGGATTCTTCATAGGTTGAAATTCTAACGCGGCAAATGCTTAAAAATTAAAACGTTTATTATCAATTATTTTTATCAACATTCATTTTGCAAAATTATGATTCGTGAGGCAAGGTTACGGTTAAGCAGATAGCAGATCTACGGTTTTGGAACTGGAATGATCTGCCAACTGAACCTAGAAACGGCCCATCATCGACTGTATCAAAATGAAGCTCAAAACAAACTTGTTTGTATCAATAGATGCTCTATCAGACTCAACTGAAGCAAGCATGCAACTGTCTCGTTACAAAATGCTCTATACTACTACTACTACTACTACTACTACTACTACTACTACTACTACTACTACTACTACTACTACTGCTGCTGCTGCTGCTACTACTACTACTACTACTACTAATACTACTACTACTACTACTATTACTACTACTGCTACTACTACTACTTCTAATATTACTATTAATACTATTACTTTTGCTACTGCTATGTTATTACTACTACTACTGACAACAATAACAATAATAATATTTTCATTTTTTTTAATATTATTATAAAAAATTTTATTGAAAAAATTTGTTTTGTTCTTCGTGTCAATGAAACTTTAAATGTTATAAAGTTATTAATGGATTTTCAGTTACTGCAAACTGTCTGGAAAGAGTTTTTAAATAAAAATGTAAATTAAAAATATTGGAGAGGCTGCAGTGATGGATGTATCTGAAAAGTAATAGGGAAACAGAATTGTGTACGAAAAAACTGAAGAAAATTTTTTAAAATAAAAAATTTAACGTGTTTTTAATGGGAAAATGTTTTTGAGACTGAACAAAAAATTCTAAGAAGACGAAAAATTTTCTTTCACAAGAATTGGAACGAGCTAAAAAAAGTTTATTCAAAGTCATTTCGTGCAAGCCTCTCAGAAATAAATTTAATCTCGAAAATGAAGAGCCAACAAAATTGTCGTTAACGAAATTTGCAACAAGACAACTCGACCACAAAACAAAGGAGCTAAATAACCTCCTAGAAGCAAGCCACCATCGGAACATCAACAACTAACCTGAAATAAAGTGTTGAACAATAACAACAAATAACAAAGATTATATAGACGAATTTATTGGGGAACGTACAGACATTCAACAGCCAAACAAACCACTAAAAATACATTAATATATACATATATAAACTTCAAAAAACCGCAAACAAAAATGAAGTAAGGAACACTGTTGCTGCATCTCTGTTTCTGCAACAGAAATGAAGATACCAACCGAGACATAAACAAAGAAAATAAATTGTACTACGCAAGCCTCGTCATTAAATTTGCAGCATCTGATTTCCTCCATCTTCTTGTAACGTCTGTGCACTTCGATGCTGGCTGGGACGTGTTTGTTTGATGTCAAGAAATTCACATGCACTCTAGGCATGTCGCAGTACGTGGCGCTAACGCACATACATTTGCGTTTACGTTACATTTACACAGATGGGTTTTAATCCTAAATTATAACTCATGCTTTGCACTGTCATAATAAATTCTTTCCTTTCGTTCATTCACACTTCATTATATTTTGCGCCATACATCGTCACGATCCACATCTGGTCGTTTGTCATGTCAGCATAATTTTTTATTATGTCTATTTCTACAGTTTTTCATATTTAGTTATAACATGACCACACTCCTTCCTTTGAATGAATTTAGCCTCAAATAAACATTCTTATGCTTATGAGCCGACAAAAATATGTAGGTATAAAATTTTTCATCAGTTCAGATAAAGGACCAAATCAGCTTATTTTCCTTCTAGTATATAACTTTTAGATGTTTTTATCAAAATTTTACTTAACACAGCCATGTTCAATGCGATTGCTTCACATTCAGAAGTTTGACAGCAAGCCCATGAACTAGATCGAAATCAAGTCTTTCCTTTATTTTCATTTTTTTTCTGCGAGCAATCATATTCACATGTTTACTCGCTGGCTCAAGTCGACTCATTCGCTTCACGTTATACCTTGCAGCCTTTGCGAGCCACTACATAGTATTAATCAGTCACATATTTGTTGGCATTTGCTCTCATGCTTATCTCTATTCACTTTACCAATAGTTTATATTCATTCTTTTTAATCAAATATTTACAATTAATAATTTGTCGGTGTTGAAACATTCACATTGTTTAACAAGTAACATGCGTTAAGTCGGTAGTTAGAGAAGAAACGTTATCCTATCATAAAGGAGACTGATGAAGATGTAGGTGCGCAAAAAATATGCAAGTTTCTATTTTTTGAGGAAAATTAAAAAAAATTATATTTCCAAAAAAAATAATAGGAATAAAGTTGAAAAAAGATTTTAAATTGAAACAAATAATTGGAAGGAAATAAATTTCTATGATTCAAATAAATAAAACCTGCTTTTTCATCATTTAAAAATTTTGGAATGGTTTTAAAATTACTAAAAGCATTTGTTCGTACATGTTCACATAGACTACTTTTAAAAATCTCTCTCTCTCTTGTTCATAAAGGCATGTTCATAAATACATATTTGTTCATAAAAAATTTTTGTAAATACATTTTCATGTATACACTCTTATGTATACTTCTCTATGTATAATCTCATGTTCACAGTATATGAAAAACATATTTTCATATTATGCTTTAATGTTCATACACATATCCACACATACACACACCACACACACACACACACGCACGCACGTACGCACACACTTCACACACACACACACAGAAAAAACAACACCGAGCTTCGGATTTTTAACGTGCACGTTTGATATTTGGCTCATAAAATGTCAGCTGAAAATGCGTCCACAAACAGAAGATAATGCAAAGGCAAGGCCACACAAATGACACGATAACAACAACAACAGCAAAAACAACATCAACATCAAAAAAACATCATCAACAACAACCACAACAGCAAAAACAACATCAACGACAATAACATCATCATCAACAACAACAACAGCAGCAAAAACAATCTCAACAACAACAACATCATCATCAACGACAACAACATCATCATCAACGACAACAACAGCAATAACAACAACAGCAAAAACATAATTGAAAAAACACTACTGCAACAAAAAATGCACGCTAACCATTATAATAATGTGACTATTTTTAATAATATTCTACTACTACTACTATTTCTACTACTACTACTACTACTATTTCTACTACTACTACTACTACTTCTACTACTACTTCTACTACTACTACTACTACTACAACTACTACTACTACAACTAAAACTACTACTACTACAACAACAACAACAACAACTACTACTACTACTAATAATAATAATAACAACAACAACAAATAATAATAATAACAAATAAAATGACAAAATGAAATGTAAATTGTATTAACAGTATCAGTATAAATAAAAATTGTACTTTTAGAACTTTGTAAAAATGTTATCCAGTTCGCAAATTCATTTTTTTTTCTTATTAACTTCATATATTGTATTTCTGATGAATGAACATTTGGCAAATTTGAAGAATTACCTTAGAGATATCTGAGGAATATCTGAAAAAATATCTGACAGATAATAATAATAATGATAAAAAGAAAATTAAAAAAAAATTTGATAGAGCATATCCAAACACGAACTAAGAAGTTTATCTCCACATTATAAGCAACAAAAACCCGGTCACCCACCAACCAAATAACAATACACTGTGACATTTAAGCCTTTTCACCAATCCTAAATAACTATTTAGAAATAAAAAAAAAGAGCAATTGTTATAAACAACAATAAGGATGAGAAATTTGAAATTCTACTTACTCCAAATAGCCATCATTTTAAAAATAATGTTCATTAGGTTGGTGATATTAAAAGAGTGAACTTCTGACTGGATGAGTCCTAGCGTGGGAAGTGCAACATAC